AATTTAGTATAGATTTTTTATATTTTATTTATCTAAAAGAATTAGAGCCTGTCGTACTATTAAAATAATATATAATTATATAAATAAGCACGATTAGTCATGCCATCTGCTAAAAGCTGCTCATATATTTTACATATTAATATTTATAATTTTAAATCTGATTATGAAAAAAAGATACATAGGGGATCAATTTATTTTTAAAAATTTACAATAACAGCTGTGTCCTTCCCATTCTACCCAACACTATTTGCCAGAGCAGCGTGTAAAAGTGTATCCAAAAGTGATACCAAGAAGATATGAAGCTGTGCCTCTGAGAATGGCTACAATTAAGAAAAGACTGGAAAGTGTCGGGGAGTGGTAAGGAGCAGAAAGGATGCATAATGATCATAACCAATGTTTATGACTACACATTGCAACTCTTCCGTGTAATGAATGTTTGAAGCTTCAGGAATCTTCAAAATCTAAATAGCACATAAGTTGGAGATATCGTAGTAGAGGAATTTTTTAAATGTAAAGAAGTGGAAAGCCTCTAACCAATGCTCACATATTTTGAAATAAAAATAATTCTATACAAAGGAATATTTAAATTGAAAGAATTGGCAAGTCTTTAATCCATGCTTATACTAGCTAAACGTATAGAGAAACTCATCCTTGGAGAGAAGCATACACTATGTGAAGAACGTGGCAAAGACTTTCACAGGTCTCGCCTTTCTGCACATAAGGAATTCCACAAGAGGAACCCTACAAGTGTGCAGAATGGTGGCAAAACTTTATGGATATCCAAAGCCTTACTAAACATAAGGAGAATTACATAGTGAGAGAAACCATATAAATGTTAGATATGGTCAAGAGCTTTAGCCAGTGCATCGCTCATTATTTGCATAAAAAGATTCTATACGAGAGAAACTGCACAAATAGTGAAAAATGTGGCATGCTTTTAAAGCAGTGTTCAAAACTTGATGAACATGAAAATAAGTATACCAGAGTGAAATCCCTACAAATGTATGAAGAGTGTCGGGTAAAACGGCTCTTTAAACGGAGTCCATCAAGCCTCCTGTACACAAGAAATACATAAACTGGTGAAGAGAAACCGTTCAAATGTGAACGAATGTGGGCAAAGCATTTAACTGGTCCCTTCACAACTCTAAACGTCATAACATAATTCATAAAATGGAGTAACAGAACATACAAGGTGAGGACCCAGTTAAAGGCTTTGCCACACTTCTTCACACTTGTATGTGTCCTCTCAGTATGAATTATTTATGACGTTTAAGTTGTTAAGACAGTTAAATGCTTTGCCACATTTCTTCCACATTTGACGGTTTCTCTCCAGTATGTATCTCTGTGTACAGGAAGGCTGTGATTGACCGTTTAAAGCTTTACCCACTCTTCCCACATATTGATAGAGTTTCACTCTGGTATGACTTATTTTATGTTCATAAAAGTTTTGAACACTGGCTTAAAAGCTTTGCCACATTCTCACATTAGCAGTTTCTCTCCAGTATGATCTTTTATCTTTAACCACTGTTTAAACCTTTATAAGCATACCAGAATGAAACCATATGAAACTGAAAAATGTGGTAAATATTTTGCATAGTGCTTTTATTTTAGTATATGTGAGAGAATTGATGCACAAACAAGATCCACAGATGTAAATAAAGTGGGGTAGCCTTTAATAACTGATCACATATTACTCAACACCAGAGAGTCATACTGGGTAACTGATAGAAATGTAACGAGTGTCAAACACCTTTCAGAACATAAAAATCTTAGAGTGCACCAGAGTAGTTATACTAAAAAAAGTGACAACTACAAAGAGTGGCACAATATCTTTAGTTGCATCACAGATTTTATTGTGCACAAGATAATTTATAGTGGGAGGAATCCTCCATTGATTGCTCAAACTTTATTTAATTAAGAAAATTTGGGTTGGAGAGACACTCTTCAAATAGCGAATTCTGAAAAACCTTTGTTCAGTAACATAGCTTTGAAAACACCAGAGGTTATATGAAAAGATATTTTGCATATTCTGTAATTTGAAAAAAATATTTAATTAAAAAGTCATGTCTAAATAAATACCAGAAGACTCACAGTAGGAATGACAAAGATGCTAATACTTTCAGAGATTGATGTAGGATTTTGCTAATAGAGAACCCAATGTTAAATAGTTATGTTTAAAAACAGCAGGATATTGATTGTTTTTGGAGAGTTATAATTACATTTAGAGTATACTTTTTGCATTATAATTTCATGTTTTTTAGAAAATCGAATGTCAAGGTAATTCAGTTTTAAATTTTTGATGCTATGTCATTCCCAGTGTTTTTATGAAAGAACGTCGTGAATCATTGCTGCATCAGAGATATGAATGGTCTTTCTAAATTAGGTGGGCATCATTCACGTGCTCTTACAATGAACATTAAAGACACTAAAATGTAAGATGCTTGAATAAAATGAAGAAACTCTTTGTGATTAACATACAAGTGCATTCATTGCAGGTGATGTTGACGGTAGTTGCACATAGTAATCTTCTTTATTATAGTTAGAGACATTTGAGATGTTAGAATTAAATTGATTTATCAGTTGCATACTTAGGTAATAAAATACAGTAGACGTTGAAGTGAGTTTTTAAAGAGTGTGTGTGAACTTAATTTTTTAAATAAAATTGTGTTTAATGTGTTGAGTGTTGTACTTTGAATAAAGTGTTATACTGCCACCAATGTTAAGCTGTCCCACCTTATTCAAAGTTGTAGGTAATAGCTGGTAACAAAATACCATTGGGTATCATCACATAATAACATGTTTAGTGACCTTTATTCCAATAGGCTTTAAACTTCAAATATTTTCAAAAATGTTATTACTATAGGTTATATTCTTACTTTGTGTCACTAAAATGCTATAGAGAGGCATGCATTTCTGAATCCTGAACGACAATTTACAAGATTTCATCACACATTTTTTTTTTTGAACATGTGAGCTTTCTGGCCTGTAAAATATAAATATACTTTTTTTTTTTTTTATTTCCAGGGAGTCAAATATAGAACTATATCACTCTAAAGATAAATTTTAGTTGTAAGAGGATTATGGAGACAGTAACTGTGTTTATGTTGTGCATATCTCTTTGGTGAAGAAAAAAGGTACATTGAAAAAACCAGATAATTCCAAAAGTGTTGATAATCTGCTAGTAATGTAGAAACCTCAAAAATTCTGAAAATAAGTACATATTCTCTTTTTTGTATTGAATTTCATTCTCTAAAACCTTATGGCTCCTGATTCAGAATCTCCCCATGAAAATTTTAATTTTCCTTTTAAACTAAATTTTAGTTTTAATTGTCATCGACTCATGCTAGACCTAAAACATAATATTTTCCTTTAAAAGTTCATGAAGTATTCTTTATATGACATGCTCAGATATTACAGGAATAGCTCTTAAGATGTGGCGCTCACAAAATAATTTGAAGATATGATTAATTCCACATTGGATGCATAATGTGAAATTGTGTACATTTTTACATTCCATTTTTTTCTCTAAATTGGAGAATCCTATATGAGCTAGTTTTTCTATAGTTATTTGCTGGAGCCAGCCGGCAACGTGGGGCACCTGGAGTTAGGGGGGCGGCTGAGAAATGAAGAGACAACAAAAAGATGGGGACGGGAGGACGGAGTCCTTGGTGACTGCCATGCCGCATTTATTTCAGTTGCTATGTTTATACAGGTAAGAACAAAGGAGAAGTGAAATGCAATGGAACAGGTGGTACATGGCTTCATTAAACCAGAAAACAAAACAGTTCTTGTTTCTTTCATCCTTAAGTCATTTTGATAGTCCTTTCCCTCGCTTAAGCAGTTTTCTAATCTACAACCTAACTTTCTTCTGATATCAAAAAGCTACAAATACTCAACTATGATCACTCAGACAGTTCAAGGAAAAGAGCACCCAAGCATAATTAACAATCCTGGGAAAGGAATGTGCAGGGCTTCGGGGGGCCTATAAGCTACGTGGGCTATGTGCTATCTCCAGCACCCTCCGTGAGCTGGAAGAATGGCCAAGATGTCAGAGCTCTGAGTCGAGGCGTCAGGTGCTATGTCTCAAGGACCCCAGTTTTCTGGGCAGCAACCGCACTTCAACTCTCCCGTGTCTGGGACAGCTCCCAACAGTTATTATTTATTTCCGTTTGTGTAGAGTAATAGACATAACTGAATTTGTTGACTTTGTTGGGACAATTGGCTTCGGTAAACCTTGGAAAGCTTCATAAGTCATGAGTTGTTTTGATATATGAAGTGGACAAACACAAGACAGCTCTTGGCATGTAATGGATTTTTCATAATTAGCAGTAAGTATTCCTGGAGGAATGATGGAATATTTTATGGCTCCACATAAAAGATAGAAAATAATCTGCTCGTTTATGTGCAAAGAGGACACCTTTTTCCAGGCTGCACAAAGGACCCTGCTTCAACTTAGAGGAATTCTGTATTTTTAATTCCCTGATTATCCCTAGGCCCCTGGTGTCTCATCTCCAGCTGCATGTGCATCTCAGCCCTTCTTCTCCTCTTTCCCTGTGTTGTGCCTACCAGCTTACTCACTGTCCTCGCCACGCCATGTAATTTCGCATAGCACATTTTAGATTATAATGAGAAGTTTTGAATTTTTTTAATGTGGTGAAAAAATATTTTTATCTGGATAGTTTGAAAGCCTTTATGAGGGCTGTGTGGAAAGTATGCAGCCATGTCATATGAAACGTGAGAAAAATGGCTTGATACTTTTGAGACAGCCCACATATAGGGTATAAAAGAAACATTCTGATTACTTGAGATAAGAATGATATAGTATCCATTGAATAGAGGGTTAAAACAGACTGTTAGTATTGTTTGCCTTTGTGAAGGAAAAATGTTAGACTAGGAACAGCATTAATAGTGGGCCTTAACCTATTGTAAATAATATGTAAAGACACACATCAGAATATGGAAAGTTCTTAAGATTGAATGTCTCTTTGAAATAAAATCTTCAAGAAAGTCAATAGTAAATTTGGAATTTAGTTTTTCAATGAAATTTTTATATCAGAACTTATGTTTCTATGCAGAATATCCTTTTTTTGAGTGTACATAGTAAATGTTGGACAGTAATTGATTTATGTGGGTATAAAATTTGGAATGATCTTTCTTTCCCAGATATTGCAATCTTGGGGAATTTCTCAAATTATTATATCTTCATTTTAATAACATTTTTCACTTCAAATGGAATGTGTCTAATTTTGCACACCACTGTTCTTAGATGCTTAATGTTTTCCTAATATAACTTGCCATATCCTGCCAGTTTTGTCCATTGTTCTCACCAGGTATGAAGTCAAGTTGCTTTAGATAGAATGTAGTTGGATTTTTTAATCCTTTTATTTAACTTGTGTCTTCTGACTTGAAACACTAGCACATAAATATTTACATAATTTTCTCAAACGAAGGACTTACAATTTCCCTAATGTGAATTCTTTTATGTAACTTTTGTTACTATCTTTTCTTTCTTTCCTCTCCTTCTGTCCTGCATTTTGCCTGAGTTTTAGTGACCTATTTTGTTTCTTTGCCCACCTTCCTTTCTGTATCTCTATAAACATTTTTCTGATGTTCACTGTGAGAATTACATAAAATCTTTTGAACTTGCAATTTATGTTAAACTGATAACCACTTCAGTTGCATACAAAAATTCCTAACCTTTACATCTGCCTTCAACTTTATGAAACTGATGTCAGTAGTTATGTCTTTTTATATTGTATATAAGTTAACACATGGGAGTGATCATTTATATTTTGCCTTTCAAATTTTATAGTATAATTAATGTTTTGCACCATCATTATGATAATACAGAATTTTATTTTTGATATGTGCATATTTTTCCCAGAGAGTTATGTAGTTGTCATGGAAGATAGAAACCAGCTTTGGAAAGGCCATGAAAAACCAGATGTGTGGACATGAGCCCATAGTTTCATTCTCTGTTGAAAGGGAATCCAGGAGATCAGATTATACTACCAAAGTGATAACTCTGTATAACGAGGGGGTGCGGGGGGAGGTGGCTTTGGTGGATAAATGTAACAAACTTTCCTTCCCCTTCCATGTGGTTCTTGGTGTTATTCTCATCTGGGGTGCTATGCACAATGAGCAGTTATGATTTCTAAAAGAATGATGTTTTTAAATATATTTTGAAGGTCATACATCTATGATAGAAGTAAGACCATGGTATTCTATTGTGGTTTATTGTTAATGTTTTTGGTATCGTTTTATATATTCAAATTGTGAAGTATATTCACCTGAGTCTAGTTAGTGAGATACTTTGTTGTTTTCATTTCCTTCAAAACTGTCTTCCCATTGCACCCAAGACCTATTGCCAGAGCAGGGCATAAAAGATTCATTCCACAAACCAATAATGAGACTATATGGAAGCTGTGGCCTTGAAAATACATACTTAAGAAAAGACTAGGAGTGTGGGGGTGAGTGTAAGAAGCAGAAAGTATGTTATGTTGGTCTCACCCAATGTTTATCAACTACCCATAGAAAAATCTTCAAATGTTATAAATGTGTAAAAGTCTTTAGCAAATCCTGAAATCTAAATAGACATAAGACAAGACATACTGGAAGAAAAGTTTCAAACGTAATGAATGTGGCAAAACTTTTAACCACAGCTCAAATGTTTATGGACATAGGAAATTTCATACCAGAGAGAAACCCTCCAAGTGTGAAAAATGTGGAAAACTCTTTAACAGGTACTCAAAACTTACTATACATAAGGAGAATTCACATTGGAGAGAGACCCTACAAATGTGAAGAATGTGGCAAAGCCTTTACTTGGTGTACACAACTTACTCTACATAAACGAATTCATTCAGGAGAGAAACCCTACAAATGTGAGGCATGTGGCAAAGCTTTTAACCAGTACTTAATCCTTTACTGTACATAAATGAATTCATACAGGAAGGAAGCCACACAAATGTGAAGAATGTGGCCAAGCCTTTCTAGTGCTCACAACTTACTCTACAAAGGAATTCGTACTAGAGAAAAATTCTAACAATGTGAGAAATGTGGCAAAGTCTTTAAAAACTGTTCACATCTTACTCGATATCAAAGAAATACTGGATAAAAGTGAGATACATCTAGTGACTATGAAAGTGCTTTCCAAAGTATTAACCTTAAAATCAACAATAGTACTATACTTAAAGTAAAACAATAATAATGTAGAGTGCTGACAATACCTTTAGTTATAACAGAGATCTTATTGGACATGGGAGAACTTACACTGAAAGACATGCTCCCATATTTTCTCAAACATTGTTCAATAAAAAGTTAAATTGATGAACTTTACAAATGTAAATCAATGTAAAAATATTTATGTAAAGTATACTTGTAGAACAACAAAGAATTGATACTTAAAACTACTTGACAGTATAATAAATTTCAGAACAAATTTAATAATAAAGTCTAAATAAATATCAGAGGATTCTAACACATTCACACATTTCTTTAAACCAGGTTGTTTATAGAGAATAATCCAGTAGATGCTGCGCTTTCATTGTTAGTGTGTATGTGAATGTATGTGGTTAATGGTAGCTACATCACAGTTATTAGAAGTCTTTCTGTATTAAGTAGGCATCATTCATGTACTTTTCCATAGAAAATTAAAAACACTGAAATGCAAGTTGTATGAAATGGAGAGGTGCTTTGTGGTTGACTTATAACAAACATTATTTCAAGTGATGTATGGTATAGGTATGCAAACTAATGTCCTTCTCATTAATTAAAACAAGCTTTCAGTGCTTTAACCACTTTGGTACGGCACTCACGGGCCGCAAAACCTTGCCCACAGCTGGCACTCATAGTCTGCAGTTTGTGCTGCGCATTGACAACGAGTCCGTTTTGCTCTTGTGTGATGAGGAAAGTTTTAAAGCACTGAAAGCTTGTTTTACTTTACAGGCAGCTTTATTTGTAATGTACATCAGAATAGGTAACATACATAAATGTTTTTATAATGTTATTTTAAATGGTCACATTTTATTTTGATAAATGAAAATTAGAAGGATTCATGGCTGAGCTAAAGTCATGCTCCGTTCGTCTGTGGCTGTCAAACTATAGGCTGATGCTTGGCTGTGCACGTTCATCTGTGGCTATCAACATAGCTGATGCTTGGCTCGTGACGCTTCATCTGTGGCTGTCGACTATACGCTGATGCTTGCTCGTGCACGTTCATCTGTGGCTGTCGACTATAGCTGATGCTTGGCTGTGCACGTTCATCTGTGGCTGGTCGACTATAGCTGATGCTGGCTGTGCACGTTCGTCTGTGCTGTCGACTATAGCTGATGCTTGGCTGTGCACGTTCATCTGTGGCTGTCGACTATAGCTGATGCTTGGCTGTGCACGTTCATCTGTGGCTGTCGACTATAGCTGATGCTTGGCTGTGCACGTTCATCTGTGGCTGTCGACTATAGCTGATGCTTGGCTGTGCACGTTCATCTGGTGGCTGTCGACTATAGCTGATGCTTGGCTGTGCACGTTCATCTGGGCTGTCGACTATAGCTGATGCCTTGGCTGTGCACGTTCATTCTGTGGCTGTCGACATATAGCTGATGCTTGGCTCTGTACGTTCATCTGTGCCTGTCGACTATAGCTGATGCTTGGCTGTGCACGTTCATCTGTGGCTGTCGACTATAGCTGATGCTTGGCTGTGCACGTTCATCTGTGGCTATGAACTATAGCTGATGCTTGGCTGTGCACGTTCATCTGTGGCTGTCGGACTATAGCTGATGCTTGGCTGTGCACGTTCATCTGTGGCTGTCGACTATAGCTGATGCTGGCTGTGCACATTCATCTGTGGCTGTCGAATATAGCTGATGCTTGGCTGTGCACGTTCATCTGTGGCTGTCGACTATAGCTGGATGCTTGGCTGTGCACGTTCATCTGTGGCTGTCGACTATAGCTGATGCTTGGCTGTGCGCGTTCATCTGTGGCTATCGACTATAGCTGATGCTTGGCTGTGTGCGTTCATCTGTGGCTATCAACTATAGCCGACACTTGTACTGAAGTGGTTAAAGCTTTCCTCATCACACAAGAGCAAAACTTCGTGCAGACTATGAGTGCCAGCTGTGGGCAAGGTTTCGTGGCTGGTGAGCGCTGTACAGAAGTGGTTAATGTTTTCTTTGAGTAGTTCCAAGGTTTCAGGTCTTAGATTTAAGTCTTTAATCCATTTTGATTTGATTTTGTTTGTGGTGAGAGATGAGGGTCTAATTTTATTCTTTTGTGTGTGGACATCCAGTTTTCCCAGCATTCTTTATTGAAGAGACTGTTCTTTCCCCACTCTATGTTCTTGGCAACTTTGTTGAAGGTAATTTCACTATAGACGTGTGGATATATTTTTGGGATCTCTATTATGTCACACTGGTCTATGTGTCTGTTCTTGGGCCAATACTATGCTGTTTTGTTCACTATAGCTCTGAAGTATAATTTGAGGTCAGGTAATTAATTATAATTCCTCTAGTCTTGTCCTTTAGGTAAGAATGGCTTCGGATATTCTGGGTCTCTTTGGGTTCCTATAAACTTTAGAATATTTTTTATATTTCTGTGAAGAATGTCATTGGTATTTTAATGGAGATTGCATTGATTCTGTATATTACTTTTGGTAGTATGGACATTTTAATAATAGTGATTTTTATCAATCCATGAGCATGGAATATATTTCCATTTTTAGTTTTTTTTTTCAATTTCTTTTATCAATTTTTAATAGTTTTCATCGTACTGATCTATCATTCCATTAGGTAAGATTATTCCTAGGTATTTTTTTTATTTCATTTTATTGTTTGTAGCTATGATAAATGGGATTACTTTCTTGGTTTTTTTAGAGTATTTACTGGTGGCATATAGACATGCTACTGATATTTTAAATGTTGATTTTGTGTCTTGCAACTGTATTGAATTTGTTTTTTAGTTCTAAAAGTTTGTTGTGGAGATTTGCCCCCTCTAATAGTTTTTAGATTTTTTTGTATAGTTTTTTTAGTTCCTTATATATTTTTGCCACTAAACCATTAGATGTATAACTTAGAAGTATTTTCTCTGATCTGTATGTTGTTTTATCATTCCATTATCTTATGATGTGCAAAAGCTATTAATTTGAAGTAATTGTGTTTGTCTGTTATTTTCATTTATTATTTGCATTGCCTGTGATTTTGAGTTCAAGCGCATACCAATTATGCGATATTCAGACCAATATTGTGTAGCCTTCCCATTATTTTGAAGTAGTGTCAAAGTTTCAGGTTTTACATTTAAGTCTTTAATCCATTTTAGTTGGTTTTTAGTATATTGTTCTACTTGTGGATATCCTTTTGTTG